AGAGGAGAGATCAAGCTCCAGGGCCCTGCGGATGGGCTGGACCTTCACCCCCACTCCACAAGGGGCTCAACCCTCCTTTCCATTCTGCCTCGTCCCTGTTGGGTCTTCTGAAGTCCCTCCCCGATCCAGGGTCTGTCTCAGACTTGGGGGTTATAATCTGGGAGAAACTGATGCCTCCCAGGTCAGAGGCAGTACCTCGTGGAGTACCAAGCCTCACCTCCAGCACTTTACACACAGCAGGCTGACCACAAACGTCTGCTGAATGACTGAACAAATGGACACACAGCAGCCACCTCGCTGGTTTCCGTGCCCCGTCTTGCCATCTGGGCTGTACTCTGGACTAGAAGTGAGAGCAAGTCTTCTAAAACATAGCTCTGAGGAGCACCAGTCACAGAGTCCTACATGCTAAGTATTCACATCAGAAAAGGCCTAAAGAAATGTTTCAACCATTTTCTGGAATACTCTGGAGGGTGTTTGTTTGTTTGTTTGTTTGTTTGAAGGGGAGGAGAAGGGGTGCCTGGGTGGCTCAGTCAGTTAAGCATCTGACTTCAGCTCAGGTCATGATCTCACCATGGTCCTGAGTTTGAACCCCATGTCCAGCTCTCTGCTGCCAGCACAGAGCTGGTTCTGGATCTGCTGTCCCCCCGCCCGCCTCTCCCCTGTTCACGCTCTTTCCCTCTCCTCAAAATGAACATTTTATATTTAAAAAGGGGGGGGGGGAGGCGAGACTTGCGCATCTGTCCCAAAGTCACACTTGGCAGAACTATGAAATAAGGATCAATTACAGCATTATTCCCAACAGCAAAAGACTGTTAGCATCCCAAGGATTCTCCAACAGGGAGAGTGGCTGAAAAGCCATGATAAGTTCACATAATAAAATACTAGGCAACTGTATAAAGAAAGGAGGAAACTGTATAAGGAAGTGAGGAAAATCTCTCTGCATTGATAAACAGTGGATTCCAGTGTATGTTAAGTGAAAACAAGCAAAGTGGAAGCAAATGTTTACTGTATGCTCTCCCCGCCCTTTTTTTTTTCAACGTTTATTTATTTTTGGGACAGAGAGAGACAGAGCATGAACGGGGGAGGGGCAGAGAGAGAGGGAGACACAGAATCGGAAACAGGCTCCAGGCTCTGAGCCGTCAGCCCAGAGCCTGACGCGGGGCTCGAACTCACGGACCGCGAGATCGTGACCTGGCTGAAGTCGGACGCTTAACCGACTGCGCCACCCAGGCGCCCCTCCACGCCCTTTTTTTAATATTTATTTTTGAGAGAGACAGAGCATGAGTGGGGGAGGGGCAAAGAGAGAGGGAGACACAGAATCCGAAGCAGGCTCCAGGCTCTGAGCTGTCAGCACAGAGCCCGACACGGGGCTCGAACCCATGAACTGTGAGATCATGACCTGAGCTGAAGTCGGACGTCTGACCGGCCGAGCCACCCAGGTGCCCCTGCTCCCTTTTTTACAAAAGGGAGATACATACGTACGCATACATACTTTAAAAAGACTGAAAAAATGAACCAAAAAGCGGAAGTGGGAGAAAACAGTAAAATAAATCTGGTGGATCTCAACGTATTATCAAAAAACGACGTGCCTGCATCAGCCCACAGACCACAGAATAGAGCAATTCCTTTTTGTCAAGTTTGTGTGTGGACACACAGAATGAACCGGGTCTGTTTCCTTTTCTATAGAACAGGGGTGGTAACAATGTTTACCCTCCCAGGACCATTCTGAGGACTAGATAACTTAGGAAACATAACACATGTGATAAGTATAGCTACTATTTTTATGTACACCTGAAAAGACCTGGAGGATGTTGCACAGACTGTTAATGATCCTTTGAAGGCAAAAAAAAGATGCACTTTCTAAAAGGAGTGTAATTCACCAGACATCTGCTGAATGAATGAGTATCCAAAGACCTCCTCCCTGTCTCCCTGCCATCTGTCACACCCACATCTTGCTTAGAGTCAAAGCCATCATCCTCACTACAAGACCTCCTATGAGTGGCTGCTTCCACCTCTGTCCTCGCTTTCCTCTAGTCTCCGTGCCCCAGGTCTTCCCTATTTTACATGTCAATTCCGTCTCCTTCTCCAACTGTTACTCTTTTTCTACACAGCATTTATTACCACCAACATACTATATATCCATAAACTCCATGAAAGCCGGGGTGTACACGTGTGTGTGTGTGTGTGTGTGTGTGTGTGTGTGTGTGTTCGTTCACTTTCTAGATCTTCAGCACGGAACAGCGCTCGGCACCTATTAAGTGCTCAGTAAATATCTGAGGGAATGCCAAAGGGCTTCAGCAACCACTGGACTTAGTATCCATGCCCTTTGGTTCTAGAATGTCTGAAAAATAATAGCTAACGTTTAATAACACGTGCCAGGCACGATTCTAATACATATATTCACTTATTTAAACCTCACGGCACCAACTCTTTGAGGCAGGTACTATTTTTATTTTTATTTTTTAAAGCAGGTTTCACACCCAACGCGGGATTTGAACTCACCACCCTGAGATCAAGAATTGTATGCTCCACTGACAGAGTCAGCCAGGTGCCCTGAGGCAGGTATTACTTTTAATCTCCATTTCACAGATGAGGAAATTGGAAGGCAAGGGAGGGAAAGTCACTTGACCGAAGGCTCACAGCTTCTAAAACGCAGACCCAGCGGCAGGACCCCAGGATCTGTCCTCCTCCCCACCACGCGGGGCTGCCTCTCTGAATGGAACACCTGCTCCCGTCCAGGTCTGTTCATCCAACACGAGGGGCATGGTCACCTGACAGCCAGCAGACTGTTGTCTCTTACCAGATCACAATACACCTTTTTCATGATGAACCTTTCCACTCTGTCCACGATAATAATGCGTTGACATCTCCCATTTTATTATTTATTTATTTATTATTATTATTATTTTTTTTTTTTTTTCTTATTTGCCCTGCCTTCTTCCTCTTCTACTTTTTGGTTTATCCTTTGCTGTCGTGGGGCATAAACACATTTCCCTTTCTTTTATAAAAAAAAAAGGGGGGGGGGCGCATATAATAAGCCCTGCCTTCCATTTCAGCCGTTTTCACTTAAGATATTCTGGAGCCCACTCTCTGTATCCGTGTACAGGTATTTTCTTCCTTCCCTTCCCCCCCAGCCCCTCATTCCCTTTTACGGTTGCATAGCTTTTTATTACGTGGATGTTAACCAGCTTTTTTTTCTGCCAGCCCTTTCTGCCTAGTAAAGAACATCCGGGGGTGTTTGCAGTCTTTTGGCTATTGCCAACGCTCATTGTTCCCCTTTCCCTCCCGGTATACTCCCACCCGGGAGTACGACGACTCCCCTCATTTACGCAGTAACCCCAGGACTATCTTTCATTCCTTCCTTCCTTCCTTCCTTCCTTCCTTCATTCATTCATTCAACGAACAGTACCCGGGTGTCTTCAGTGCGACCAGCGCCGTGCTGGGAATTCGGCGATGACCAACACATACTCAGTCCCTCCCTGTCCCCGTGGAGCTCACGGTCAAGGACCTAATCAAAAAGCCTCACAAATAAAGGTCCAATGGTAAATCAGACCACGTGTGACATGAAGGAAAGGAAGAGGGACCTATGAGAGCGTTTAACAGGCGGATTTCGGGACGGAGGGCGGGAAAGGAGGGCTTCGCGTAGGAAGTGACGTTGGTGCCGAGACCCGAAAGATGAATGGGAGTTAGCCAGGCAGAATGGGTAAAAGGATGTTGCGGGCAGAGGGGGACAGCGTGTGCAAAAAGCCTGAGGCGGGAAGGCCCATGGCGAGTCTGAGGAACCGGAAGGCCGGGGCAGCTGTGCGAAGTGAGGAGCGGGCAGAGAGGCCGAGCCGAGGCCGGCGGGGCCGACGCGCCTTGGGGGCCACGTTGGAACTTTGCCCTGAGGGCACTGGGGAGCCACGGGAGGGTCCTGAGCAGGAGAAGAAACTGGGGTCCCGAACGTCACTGCTCCCCTTTCCTCGCAGCGCCCCAACCCCCCGGCCAGCGCCCCTGCCGCTTGGGGGTCCCTCCTCCCTTCGTTCCCGGGCCCCCACGCCGCCCCCCGCTCACCGCGGCGCCGGCCTCCGTCCCCCTCGCGCCCCCTCAGCAGCGCCTCTTCGCAGACGCCGCCGTCGCCATCTTCCGTTCGCCGCCGGGACACTGCGCACGCGCCGCGCGCGCGGGGCCGCCGGGAAATGGAGTCCACGGTGCGGCCCGAACCCGCCCCTACCTCCGGCTGCGCGAGCGGCCTTCCGCCCTCAGCCAGACCACGCTGGGGCGCCCTTCGTTTCCGGCCTTTGAGCGCCGTGCCTTAAGGGAAATGTAGTCCCTTGGCAGAGGCACTGGACGGAAAGGAAGGTAGAGGCTTTTGGGAAATGGAGTTCTCGGTGGTTCTGAGTCCCTGGACGGCCGGCGTTAGAGCGAGCGGACAGTCCGGGCGACGAAGCTCTTAGGTCCTGGAGATGGTCTGTCGCCCCAGTGGATCCCAAGCAGAGGCTCCGATCCCCTCCACCGTTGGTCCTGACCATTTACACAGGCTGGAGCACTTCCAGCTGTCGGAAGCTTCAATCATCCAGTCTGTCCAGTGGGAATGTGGGTTCGAGGGCCTCTTACGGTCCTTATAGCAGCATAAGGACCTCTGCAATCCTCTGCGCTCTGAGCCCCCTTCCCTCCGCCGCCGTCATACTGGGCTCTGGCTATTCGCCCTCTCCTGTCGAGATGACGAAACCCACTGGAGTAGAAAAGCCCCAGAGTTCTGCCCTTGGCTTTAGCATCCGCAGCGTCTCCCACCTGCAGCTCCGTCCCTCTTCCGCCACCTCCAGCTTTCGCGGCCACGGGCTGCGGCTCCCGGCGCCTGAGGTCTATCTCCTCGCAATCCCGCAGGGGGCGCCCCAGCCCGAGCGCGCCGGCCCTCGGGGAGGCGGGAGGGGAGCCCGGGGCGGGCGAGAGCGGGGGGGGGGGGGGGTGTCCCAGCTATAAAGCGTGGCCGCCTCCCGCGGCGCCCAGGACGGCTGGGACCCCGGGCGGTCGGACGGGCGGGCACCGGTCGGAACTCGGGCCGTGCCGGCTGAGAGATCTGAAGCGCTCGGTTTCCCCCCCCACCCCGGGCCGGAGCGGGGGCGGGAGGGGGCGCGGGCCCGGGGGATGCTGGGCTCTGTGAAGATGGAGGCCCATGACCTGGCCGAGTGGAGCTACTACCCGGAGGCGGGCGAGGTGTGTCCTCGGGGATGGCGGAGCGGGAAGCGGGGGGCAGGAATCAGGGTGCGGGTGTAATCGAGGACAAGGATGGGGATTAAATGGGGGCCCCAACCACGGTTGAGGGGCGGAGGAACTGGAGACACCGAGACCAGGTGTAAGAGTCAGGGATGGGGGGGGGGGGGGGAAGCACGGGAGTGCGGTTTAGGCTGACCGGAGCCAGGGCTTTAATGGGAGTCAGAAAAATTTAGGCAAGGGTCAGGTCATAGTTTACGCGTGAAGACTGGGGCTCGGGGACCCCCAAATCCAAGGGACTGAAATTTTAAAAACCAAAGATGGGAATCCGAGGTCCAGGATAGGGGACCCAGCTGGGGGATTGAGAAATGGGGTTCAAAATGGGGGGGGGGGGAGGAAGACCGGAACGAAGAGATGAGAGAAAGGGGTCACCATGAAGGAAAGCCTGAGGCGGGAACTCAAGGTTAGAATATAGTTAAAGATGGGGGTTCTGGGGTAGAAATCAGAATTGGGGGCTGGGAGATAAACACGGGGGTGGCGGTCTAAGAATCCGAAAATAGGGATTGGTGCTCAAAGAGGCGAGACATGGTTTGGGGGAGTCTGTAATAACAGGTGGGTGAGAGTTGGGGCTCAGATAGATGGGGGCCCAGATGGGGTCAGAGTTGGGAGCCTGAGCGCAGATGTGAGCCACGGCATTGGCTGGAGAGGGGTCAGTCTCCACCCTCCAACCCTATTCCTGATCCTTACGCCTCCCGACTGAACTTCAGTGGTTTAATTGTTTTCAGAGACCCTCAGCAGGGATACTCCTAATTGGAGGCTGGAGGGTTTCAGATTTCACACCACCACCCCCCTTCCAGTTATCTCCAGTAATTGCCAACGTCCTTACGGTCCCACCTTCGACAAGGCCGCCCTTGGAGTAGGGGGCGGGGTGTATCTTAATTCCCGCACCTCAGCTGCCCGAAAGTCCTTACCCGAGTCTAACTCCCATTCCAGTTGCTGCAAGGGCTCCCCCTTAGCTCGTTCTTTCTAGGGAGTCAAGATTGTGAAGTGACGGGGGAGGGGTCCTGGTAGGAGGGGTATGGGGGTCCAGACACTTGGGTTCCTAGCCTGGAAGGAGGCTTTAGGCTTCAGGTCGGAGTGGGGCTGGAATGGCTGAGAGCTCCAAAGATTCTGAGATCTGGAGGTTCCAGGGGCCCCACCGTGCCTGAGTTCTGGGTCTGGGGTTTGAAGCTTAGGGTGGGACTCCTGGTTCCCCAGGCCTGCGGGGCTTGGCAGGGTGCCCGGGAGGGGCCAGTCCTGGGGCTGTGGAGGTGTGAGGTGCACGTGGGGTGGGGCGGGCCGACCAGGGAAGGGATTGGGGGTGCTGAGAGACGGAGCTGGGACCTACTGGAGATATCAGTTGTGCAGTGGGGAAGGCACAGACCAGGTCCGACGTGGAGGCTCCCAGGGAGTGAGGGATCCCAGCTGAACCCCTAGAGAGTTCAGCCTGGGGACATGATTTAAGAGAACCAACTGCCGATCTGTGTTGGTGGAGTGGGGGGGGGGGGCACATCTTGAAGAAGTAAGCCCTGCGGGGGTCTAAGGACGGAGGAGTTGTCATTTGGGGCAAGTCTGAAGTTTAAGAATTTGTATGGAATCTGTCAGATATCCAAGGACAGTCTGGAGAGTCTAGAGAGGATTAGCATTGGGGGGCATATTTTGGAAGAGTTAGCATGTTGGGGGCTGGAAATGGAAACACGATCTGATGGTACCCCCAGCCTTTGGATCAGCCACCAGCAAAGCCACCTCCTCCCCCTTGGGTCTGAACAATAGAGAAACATCTGCACTCACTCAGCGTCTCAGAACTAAGAGGGTCCCCAAACTGCTTCCTGCGCACAGCACCCTCCTGCTGGGGTGATTGACACCCCGGATCAGGCTCCCCATCTGGAAGGAAATTGGAAAGCTAGCACCCTGGGGTGTCCCCCCTGGACTCCAGTTCTACAGATCAGCTGGTCCGAGTGCTCCCCCCTGTTAGAGATGGGAACTCTGAAGCCTCTCCGAGTGTCCGGGGGCTGCTTGAGGATCTGGACTGGGGCTGGGACCAAAAACTAGGCTTCTGGTTTCACACCGCCTTCCTCTGCCCGCTGTCACACCCTTCCTCAGAGACAATAAGGAAATGAAAGGACAGAAATTCCAGCCTCCTGGGATAGGGGTGCAGGTCCCCTGAAGGCTTCCCCCCAGTCTCAGCCCCGCCCTGGCTGGGGAGATCCGGTTCACAGGCTCACACCCGGACACTGGGGGTTCATCCCAGCCCTAGGGCGTGGGAAAGCCCAGGGTGGATTAGGGCAGCAGGAGAGCTTGAGGTCAGATGCGAAGGAGGACTTCCGGGTGGGTGGGGACCAGAAAAGGAGGGCCCTGGGGTCCTGGTCAGTCTTCCTCTGTGATACAAAGGAGTCCGATGGAGTTGGAGAATTGGAGTGGAGGTTGCAGAGGGATTTACCAACTCTCTGTGGATGCCCCTGAGTCCACTGCCTCCCTTCAGCTCCGAAGGACCCGCTTCCCTCATTCTGGGGAGAAGGCAGACGCAGCCAAGGTGGTGGTGGGGAGACCGGTGCAGGGAAGAGGGGTAGCTGTGACTCCCAGTTTCATTGTGAGGCTTCTGGGGAGACGGCGATGCTGAATGGAGAGAACAGAGATACAAAGATGTGCTGGAGGGCAAGAGACCTGGCAGGGGAATGGGGTAGAGAGAGACAGGGAGAGAGAGGGTGGGGGAGAGAGAGAGATGGGGTTGGAAAGAGTTAGGAGGAGGGAAAGGCAGGGGGGTTGGGGAGAGATGAGCGAGAGGGAGAGACTGGAGAAGGAGGTGAAAAGAGAGGGGCGAGAAAGAGATGGGGAGGGACAGGGCTAGAAGAGATCCGGGGAGTAGAGACGGAGGGAGACGCGGAGGGAGACGCGGAGTGAGAGAGGGGAGGAGCACAGAGGTTCTGAGACAGGGAAAGAGATGGACAGATACATATGGAGCCAGCTGGGAGATTCAGAGACAGGGGACAAAAGAGCTACCTGAAAGCTCATGAGAGAGAGAGAGAGTCTCTACCTGCCCTCAGACTAGGGTTGGTTCCCACCTGTCTCTGACTGAGTGACCCTGGCAATTCCCTTTTCTCTCAGGACTTTGGGACCTGCAGACCCTTGCAGTGACAGGGTCTAAGACGGGACCCACTGACTCACCGCAAAGGTGGCTCCTCCCGGAAATAGGAAATAGAGCCAAATAGAGCCGCAGGAGACCCCAGCGTGGGGAGGGAGCAGGGCAGACGGGGCTGTGAGGGAGAGAGGACGGTAGACGGTGGATGGGAGGGTACAGGCACACCAGAAGGGAGAAATCTCCGCTTTACATTGTCCTTGTTTATCTTGTTCACTTCCTGCTAGACTGTCAGGTCTGCGAAGGGAGGCACTTCCATCTGTCTTGGTCACTGCTTCTATAGCACGATCCCGAGTGGTGGTCTGGAGCCAGACTGCCTAAATTCAGAATCCCAGTTCTGCCCCCTTCTTACTGTGTGACCCTGGGCTGCCTCTCTGGGCCTCAGCTTGCCCAGCTATGCGATGGGTGTCATAATAGCACCTCCCCCATAGTACCTTTGTAAAGGTTGAAAAGGAGACCTTTCCCCGTGAAGTGTTTGGAGCTGTGCCCGGCACAAAGTAGGTGGCCAATAGATATTTGTTCAATGGATGAAAGAATAGAGGGTTATTTAGAAAGACATAGCAACGTCTGCCGTATTCCATTGAGTGCAGATGCGTGTTTTTCCCCATTTGAACGTTTCTGAAATGTTTTACAGTCTGGAATGGGTCTTCTAGTCGGTAGCGTCGAGGGACTGACCATGTTTTCTTCCCCCATTTTTATTGCTACTTGGAACAACGCTGCATCTTACCAATGACGATGTCTTAGATTTGACGATATATTGTAACTACATAATATATATTAGGTTGGGGGGGGGGCGCCTGGGTGGCTCAGTTGGTTGAGCGTTCAGTTCTTGATTTTGGCTCAGGTCATGATCTCACGGTTTGTGAGTTCAAGCCCCAAGCTGGGCTCTGCACTGACAGCAGTGAGCCTGCTTGAAATTCTCCCTTTCTCCCTCTTTCTCTGCCCCGTCCCTGCTGGCGCTCTATCTCTCTCAAAATAGATACAAATTTTACACACACACACACACACACACACACACACACACACACACACATTAGATTGAAATCTATCATTTTGGATACTGAAACATTTTTGACCTATAACCACTGTAATTCTATAACCTAAAAGATTGATAGAGAGTACCCATGTAGGTGAGATGGTTGGAGAGATCAGCAGTTTCCAATTTTTTCAGTTTCAAGACCTCTTTACACGCTTAAAAAGTTATTGAGGACCCCAAACAGTTTTCATTCATGTGGATTATGTCTATCAGGAGTTACTGCACTAAAAAAAAATTTACTGCATTTGAGATTGCAACTGAAAAAAATTTTAAGATATGGATTAATTAGTTTAAAAATAATAATTGTTTAGGGGGACCTGGGTGGCTCAGTCAGTGAAGCGTCTGCTTCAGCTCAGGTCGTGATCTCGCGGTTCGTGGGTTCGAGCCCCGTGTCGGGCTCTGTGCTGACAGCTCAGAGCCTGCAGCCTGCTTCGGATTCTGTGTCTCCCTCTCTCTTTCTGCCCCTCCCCAACTTGCGCTCTGTCTCCATTTCAAAAATAAACATTACAAATATTTTTAATAAAAAAATAAAATAATTTTTTAGTATACATACTGTGTTTTTTGTTAAAATAACTATACTTTGGGGGTGCCTGGGTGGTTTGGTTGGTCAAGCTTCTGACTGTTGATGTTGGCGCAGTCAGGATCATGGGATCAAGCCCCGAGTTGGGCTCCACGCTCATTGCAGAACCTGCTTAAGATTCTCTCTCTCTTTCACTTTGCCTCTCTCTCTCTCTCAAAACGAATGAATGAATGACTATATTTCAGGGTACCCGGCTGGCTCAGTTGGCCAGTCTTAGGATTGTCAGTTCAAGCCCCACATTGGGCATGGAGCCTACTTAAAAAAATAATAGAACAAAATAGAATAGAGCAGGAGAGGAGAGGAGAGGAGAGGAGAGGAGAGGAGAGGAGAGGAGAGGAGA